AATCAGAACAAAAGTTTAAAAAAGGAAGCAAAGCTAGCTGAGCTTTGATCTTCTGAAAGGTTCTGAGGAGGGGTTTGGGAGGAGAATTTGTCAGTAAGTAGAAAACAATTGAAACCAATGTGCAAACAGAAAATGGACTTCTTTGGCTTGTTAAGAACAGACTGGATCAAACTTTTTACAGTAGCCAATGCAGTTAATGAGGAAGGAATAGAAGGGGTTTGTCTTGAGTGTTACGGGGTTTCTGCCATTGTCTGGGTTGGTGTTAAAAACAAGTGACTGAAATGTGGCCTAAAAGTAGTTTTTGTGGGGTCTTGTGTGGCTGGCTGAAAAATAGCTTTTGAAGCTTACTTGTAAATAACTCACTCTTAAACAGGGGTGTCACAAAGTGTCCTCCTGGCAAGTTCTGCTTTGAATGTATTTTCATCATTTTCTGTAATGGTGGAAACAAAATAGATAAGTTCGCAGGTTGGGAGGACTGCAAGTGTTGTACAGCTCAGGGTCAAAATGACCTTGAGAAGACTGATAGCAGACTGGGTATCAGTGTAATTAGCTCAGTTAGCAAGAACTGAAGGAGGAAAAATCAAAGGCATAATTAGTGGAAGGAGTATGGCTGAACAGTAAACAGTATCCCAAAAAAGCATTTGAGCACTGTAGTGCGTAGTAAATTACATATTAATCTGTGGTATGGTGTCCTTTTAACTAGACAAATGTTGTTTTGCCATACTAGCAGATGTGATTAAATATAACGACAAGGAAAGTGATTGCACTGCTCTGTTGATTAAGTGCCTTAGCTAAAATGGTAGGGCTGTTTTCTTAACCGTGGTAGGTAGGTCTTGAGACCGTGAGAATATTAGATTTATAAAACTTGGTTTGTGAGGGGAACCTGAAAGGTATAGGCACACTAGAAAAGAAACAAAAGAGGAGCAAATTTGATGAGTGCCCTCATCTATAAAACTGTTGCTACATAAAGGCTAGTGATTAATTAGTCTTTGTGCTCTCTGTAGAGCAAGAAAAGAAATCATGCTTGTTTTTGGAAGGTAATACTTGTGTTGGGTGTTAAATCAAAACGTTTGGCTTTTCGGTTGACAAAACACTGAAGCTGGCTGTCCAGAAAGATTGTGGATTCTCTTTTCCTGGAGAAGTAAATGGCTGGACAGACATCTGTTGAGGACAGTCTGGTGTCTCAAAGATCCTTGCAGGTGTGCATTTAAACAGTTCTGTGTGTACTAACACGGTGGAATTGGAAACTTTAGTTGGAGAAAACTGCTTTTGAATCTGCAAAAGTTTCCTTGAACCTGGATTTTTATGAAGCTTTGGTAGGAAAGGACCACGAGGTATCCTCCTCCATTTCTGCTTCAATGTGTTGTGAAAGATTATGTGTGTGCTCAGGGAAGGGTTTGCTTTCAGGCACACACCTTTTGAAAGCCTCTTCCACTGGCATACAGGGAGTGACCTGTCTGTGTTGACTGTGAAAGGCTGTGGAAGCATTTAAATCCATTTCACTCTGTTTATAAACTGTACATTTGCTAAAACATCTTTCATGGCTGCTGCTTCACAGGGATGTTCTCTGGAAAAGAGCAAACATCTCTCTAAGTAACACGCTGAGCAATAAAGAGTTCAAGGGGGGTGGGGGTGGGGGAGGGAGCTTTGCTGCTGCCTTGTCTTAGTCAAAGGATGTGCATGCCATATAGTGTGAAGTGGCAAAGTGAAAGTGTGATGTTGATTGTGTCATTAATATAGTAATGTTGTTCATAAGGAAACAGCAGCCTATAAATGATCTCTTGAAATAACTGGACTGGAAAGCTGGAGATGTTTCCAGTCAGTGCTTCTATAGATGCAGTGTGGCTTGCTGTTTTTCAGCACATGTCCAGGAGAAGGGCTTCTATCCAGGTTACTTGTTTTTACACAGCCTGAAAAAAAATAAAACCCAGTTATCATTCTATTATCTTCTTGGGCTAATTTTTTTTATTGTATTTGATGTCTTCAATTATTTTTCGTGTTAAGTATTTGTGTTTTGTCCAAAATTAGATATTTTTACTTCTGCTAGTAAAATGTCCAAAAGTGTTACTTGAGTGAGCTGGCCTATTGCTGTATTGGTTTTCCTTAGTAGTTATATCAACTTTCTGCTTTTGAAATCCATAGAGGGTTGGGAAGCTTCAGCAGAGCTATCCACGATGTGTGTTGCTAAGCTGGTTAAACGGAAGTTCTGTCATGAAAAACTGACTGGATTAGTTCAAAGATTTTCAGTCTTTCACATGACTAATGCACAATTCATGGCTGACTTATTTGCTAGCAGTAGTTTGGAGTTGAAATCTGGATCCTGAGTAGCTTTGCCTGTTAGATAGAAGGAAACAAGCTCTGTTTAAGACAGGAGGGAACTTGGATGGTGTTTTGCTGTATATTTCAGACCCCCAAAATGTATGTGAACCAAGGCAATACAAACCTTAGCAGCATTCAGTTATTTAGAACGTCCCTGTGTGTGTGCTGCAGCTTAAAAGAAATCTTGACATAGTCATCTTAAGGGATTCTGCATACATTAAAATTCTAGCAGTTTTTCTAAAAATCAGATTATATCAAAGTTGGTTACACGTGAGTCTACAATGTCATTTCTATGATTTACCTTGTTTTGGTGGGATATTTGCATGCTCCTTATGTCTTGAGGTTGGGTTTTTCATTAGTCTGATGTTGGCTATTTCTAGGAGTGAAGATGTGATGATGAGGTTTGGAATTTTTTGTTAATTTTCTGTTTAAGTCAAAATAATAAAGGAGTGTGAAGACTTGATGGTGATGATGTTAGAGATGTTTTGTATCAAATGAATGATTTGGCTTTACTCTGTGAAGCTGAATTTTCTATGTATATTTCTATTTAGGGGTGGGAAGAACGGCATTATTGGTTTCTGTATGAATCTGAGAGTTGAAATGAATGCAGCTCAACCTCTCTTAGTTGGTCCATTGTCACAAAAGTAACCAAATAGCACAGAGTTTGGACTAGTAGGTGACTTGAGCCTTAAAATTCATCAGTCGCAGAAAATAATCTTCCCAATGCTTAATAAACATAACATGAATTTTGGTGTAGGATGGGGGTTAGACTTGATTTTTGGAGGTCCCTTCCACCAGTCCAAACCATTCTGTGAAAAATGTTTGGTTTTCAGGTAGCTATGAGCTAAGTGTGTTGTAACTTTTTCTAAGACTGTTTTAAGTTCTTGTAAGATTAGAATACTTGTGACGCTTTTATTGAAGTTGCTATTGATAACATTTAACGTTGTATTAAGTCGCAACTGGAGTAAGTTATTTCCTATTCGAGTCTATAGTCTATGCTACAGATACACAGGTTTATGGTGCAGCCAGTTCAATAGAGATCAGCTACATTTGAAGCAGCCTGTTGTAAATACCTGGTAAAAGTTTCAAAACAGATACTGCAATATTTAAATACAGGGACTAGGGAAGATTTATGTGCAGGTGTCTTGTTAGAGGAATGGCTAAGTGGATTGCCTCCTTTTTTTTTAGTAACTTGATATTTTTTTGAACAAAACTTTTCTTCATGGTCAAGGATTTTAAAACATCTTGTTGCATGAGGATTTTTTTAATTGGATGGCATTAGGATTAGTGTATCTATGATTTATATTAATATATATGTGAGATCTGTAGGATTAGCTGTGTAGAGTTCAGCTCACTTTTCTAAAAGATGGTGTTTGAGCAAGGCTTTCTGTTTGTGGCCTTTTGTGACACTTGCTGTTGTCAGTACTTAGGTTTTACTACACATGTAATTATTCAGGTTTTTTTATGATAGTCAGGACTGCATTCTTGTATATGAGAAAGGAGCAAAACACCCTGGAAGTTTGTCTCAAGTCTGTGTTTGCAAAATGGAAGAAAAAAGCCAAGGGCTGATAGAAAGTGTTTGGTGCAGCAAGCAATGTCCACTACAGAATTCGGGTTTCCTGTGTCTGACAGAATTTTTAGCTGCAGCGTTATTCTTGCATAGAAAATATTGTCTCTGCCTTGTATCACTTCTGTAGTGGGTAAGGTCTGGATGCTGTGGGTACTTTGCTAATTAGGCAAGGTAGTGTAAGACTGTTTCTGAGATTAGCAGAGCATAATGTGATGGTCATGCATGGGATTAGAAGTCAGATCTTAATTCCCTGACTTCTGAGTGCTTTACTCTTAATTTTAAGCTTTAATGTAGTTCCTTGCATGGAACTTGTCTTTGGAATCCTTTTTGTGTGTGTGTGAAAAGTCTTGTAAGCTACTTTCCAGGAAGTTGTAGGGTGCTCTGTACTGTATGAAGCCGAACATGATTATGTTGTAGTATGTATGGCAGTACTGTCTTGGTGTTGAGACTGTGGTTACTTGAGCGGTGCAAGTCACAGGTTAGTGATTCCAGGTGAAGTTAAGGAAATGGTCCAGGGGTAAATGTGGCAATAACCAAAATTGCCAAATTAGAGACTATATGATTTAATTTACTGTTTTTAAGGGGAAGTATCTCCAGGAGGACAGGCTTGCTCTAGCTTCTGAATAGGCTTCTGAACTTGTGGATTAAGAAAACTCCTTAAGTGTATGTGGAGGGGAAACAAGGTTGTATTGCTAGCCTTCAAATCAACAGGGTCTGTGTTAATTTCTTAAACAAAACTGTAAAAAAAACCCCAAATCCTGAAACCCTGACTAACTCTGTATGTGTGAATTAGGATGATTCAAGTGAAATGTCTTATGAATGTTCCCAGTATGTATTGCATTTTTTAAGGCCACAAAAATTAAATGTGTGTGGAACCTCCTATTTAAAGATAGGTAAAATACATGTATTGTATATAAAAAGAAGTTTCTACAGACATGCAGAACTGTACACATGTATGTATATATGGATATGTACAAACCATGTATTCTGTAGACTGTTACGCAAGTGTGAGGCCAAAGAATTAAAGTATCTATATGAACAATCACAACCCTTTAATTTTCCCATCAAGCTAAAAATGTATTTACTAACTCACTTGTTTTTTTTACTAGAAATGACTACCCCAAACAAGACACCACCTGGTGCTGATCCAAAGCAGTTAGAGAGGACTGGTACTGTTAGAGAAATAGGCTCACAAGCAGTTTGGTCTCTTTCATCCTGTAAGCCAGGTAAAATCGCAACAGGTGGTATAAAAAGCTGAATGTACAGTTTTCTTTTTAGAATATATAATGGTTTATGTTTTGATAAGACTAGATATGTACAGAGTGTAGCAGTAAAACTCCTGTAGTGTAAGCTGTATGGGTAGCCACTGCAAGTAATTTTGGTCGTCTTTGTATTTGATGCAATATGAAAGTTCTAACTACATCAGAAATCCTACAGTGAGGCAGTATCTCATATTAACAAAATGGATCTTTTACTGATTTTATACTAAATTGTTTTTTTACTTGCACAGTGAACAAACTAAACTCTGTGAGCTTAAACACACCCAGCAGTGTGTAATTGTTTCTATGCTTTGGCATTTTGCCTGGGTATCTTTGATTTTTAACTTGGAAAAAACTGTGCAGTGGGGCAACCTAAATGTTCTGTCCAACTTTGTGTGGATTTGGCTATTATAGTGTAGCTCCCTAAAATCATGCAAGTAAAAATGAAACTATTGTAAATGGTCTTGAGGTGCAGTTAATGGTAGCTTATACCTGCTCAAAATACCTGAATCTGTATTCTTTCCACTTGAGGTGGTTGAGTCGCTGTTTTGGAAATACCTGTTGGGAATTGATCTACTATCTTTTTGCAGCTTAGAGCAAATGATCCCTTATTTCACAATATTGTGCTCAGGCTGAATGCCTTCAGTTTGATATCCTGCTACCTTACTTGGAGAAGAATATCAAAGGATTTAGTTGCTTCAAGCAGAGCAAAGATGACTTTTTGTATTGCAGATTAAACTTCAATTGCTGAATTAAAACTGCAGCTGGTGTGGGCAATCAAAAGGAAGTGATTAGTAAAAGGACAGATAATGAGTGAATGGAAAAATAAAGATTTGGAGTTGTTTCTTTAAATGTGTCAGCAGTAACTCAGGAGTACTGTTTTTTGGCATCTGTTGCTTGTTCTAGCTACTAATTTGAAGTAAAAATATTTCAGGAGACTACTTGAAAAGAAAATGTTGTATTTGGCTAAAATTTTATAATAAATGAAGGGTCTCTGCTAATCATTTTCCTGTGGTTCA